GCTTTAACCTTTGTTCCCAATGTATTTTTTCTTCACAACCCCTAATCAGTTGACAGGCCGTGAGAGAATATCGCCACAAAGATGCGAAAAAGTTTTCGCTGATTTTCCTTTACATATTCCGGCTTTATATGGGTCTACACCTTACCTGCTTAAAAATGAAACTGTTTTTCAAGTGTCAGTCAAACTCGGGATAATCTTGACTTGCAAACCCAAATGCAAAGGTTTATTTCGCAGTAGAAAAGCGTGTAAACATCGTCGAACAACGCAATGTAAATTGGCTAGTGTGAAACCACGTTTCTTTCAGTTTATTTACAATGCATTTATCTCAATTGCACTCTCTTGTGAAATTAGCCTCAGACAATTAGTTGCGACCTTTAAGAGACTCAACAAGCCAGTATGAAAATATGTTAAGAGAAGCTGAGCTGTACACGTTCTATTTCTTTTTTTTCATATTGCCCTTGTATGCGTTAACATTCCATTTCTTTTTTATTACAGGTAACTTCCAGACATGACGAGGAGATAATTACTATTCTAGAGAGCCATTCTTTGATACTGTCAGTTGTTACTGACTTACTTTGCGTTAAAAACAAAGAACACAGACACTGGTAATGACACATAAACAATAATCCCTGGCAAGCCTACAAAACAAGAAAGAGGAACTCAGACTCCTTATCAAAATGTGAAACAAGATAAAAACAGCTTTTCTAACGTAGGGAAAATTGCGTAATCGAGCGTAAGCACATTGCATTGTCAAACATCATAATTTACTGAATAATGGACAGTGATTTTGAGCTTAGCTCAGTTTGTAATGAACCTTGAAAGACATTCTATAACCTTGTATTTTTAAAAGCTTTCATGGAACATAGATGCATTTTGTTATGAAGTAGTTGCTGTTAGTTCTGTTTTGGAGTTTTGGTATTTTTAAAGTTTTTCTATCCGAATGATTATTTTGTAGCACGCACTAGTTTCTTAAAAAACAGTTCATAGTCCAAGGAAATTCAATGTATAGGCCACACGGTTAGTTCCTGAGTTTTGAGAAGTATCGTCTATCGAAAGGATTTGTTAAGCTTGTTGTAGTTCTTTGAAGTAAGCATGTTCGGGGATTAAAGCTGACCTTGAGTTTTGCCTCCACTGAAGTTCCTGTTTTGTACGATTGGTCCTAGCGAGCAGTTTTACCGCTAGCATTCAATTGGCTCTTTAGTACTTGTTAATTGCGACAGTGTAGACTATTCTATCGTTCACAAGTTAAGCGACAGGATATGCAGTGGAAGGGTCTCATGGTCAGCTAACCCAAACACGTCTACAATTTGCTTATTTAATTCACTGTGTAAGCTAGTAGAGTTAGTTGAGAAGTAGAGTTCTTGTCAGAAGCTTTTGAAGAATAAACTGCTGTCTAAGGAGAACGAACAGAGTCTTGGACCTGTTCGTTAAAAAGCCAAGCGAGCTACACAAGCCCCCAACATACTTTCGCCCCATGTAAGGGAATCCATGACAGTCTTGGATTCTGGATTCCACCCTGTGGATTCCGGATACCGAGTACTGGATTCCGGATTCCAACTCAATGGATTCCGCATTCCAAAAAGGGCTGGATTCCAAATTTTTTCGGTTTTAATGCTTTTCTTCGCATTTCTTTTTCGTGTTCGAATCTTGCCATATTGAAAGACGTTGTTTAGAATGCATAGCAAGTTTGTTTTCTTTTTCGATTTATAAGTTACGTGAAGAAATGTATTACTGTTCCGTAAGGGTTTAAGGTATAATAATGATGGGGACATTGGGGGACTGTCCACACCACAACACCGCGGAAAAAAATAACAAACATCGCATCACCGCAAAAAAACGTGGCGAAACACCGACATCGCAATTTTAAATTTTGTCCTTCGATTAATCTAGTCCAAATCTCCATATGATTAGGGATCTCGGATCTCGCAGCTGGTTTAGTGATTAGTAGAGAGTGAGACGGACCTCAAGACTATTTTTCACTAACTCTATTTTTGTGAACTCTATTTTCAGTTATGCAGATAGAAAAATGCTTAATTAACAGAAACAATAGAACTCTTGCAAATCATTCCTAAAAATTCACGTTTATTCATTTGATTGCTACATAATAAAGTATTGGGGAAAGGTACAGTCATTGCCAGGGACTATCGAGCTGCAATTTGCAAGAAAACGGCGTAACAAAGTTCGTGTGTAACTCCAAATCAGTTTTTCCTATCTATGCCATATCATAAACCAGCGAAGGTTAATCAAGTCTTTTGCTATCCACCAATACTATAATAGAAGGTTCATTTTGTTTGTATGTTGTTACATTCGTAGTTTTCCTTGTCCTGTCCGAACGCCTGGAACAGGCTACGTCGATTCATGTTTGCAAATTATTTTAAAAGTATTTCGAAGTAATATTATGTTTTAGGACATTGTTTTTCGTTCTTTTTCTACTTTTTATTCGAATCATTGTCATAGCTCAAAGAACTAAATTCCGTTACCGCTCTTTTCTAAGACTTTCATTTATAGAGACACAGTAAGCTGTAGAACACGCGCATTAGATATCACTTCTTAACTGAATTGCTTTCACACTTTCTCATATGACTCGTAAGACACGAATTTTAGCCAAATACAAAAAAATACACTTCTCCTAGGATGGGATGAGCATATATACTCAATAAAAGATTGACAATCAAAAAGAGCACTACAGAAGATCAAATTGGAGTTCAAGCTGACAAAAGTAGGGTCCCGGTCACCGCGGCCCTAAAGTGACTAAGGTTGACTGTGTCACATAATTGTCTAAGAATGATAACCTAGCTCAAAATAATTTCGGACAAGGCCGGACCACGCTGATCCACTAAATAAATTTTTACGCTTTCACGTCTCGACGTTTTTGACTGGTCAAAATAAAGATAAAAAGTCAGTAACTCTTGACAGTCTGCAAGCCCAAAACCATCAGTTACTTGGTCTATACTAGTTGTTGCTGAACCATTTAAATCGAGTTCAAAAAGTGGCTTAATAGACAAAACGGCTCAAAACGTAGTCAAAGATAGCCTGATTTGCCTGCGTTCAGTCAAAACTGTAGAGCTGAACTTGTTTGTTCTTTATTGACTTACGCTACGCAAGCATCCTTGCTGGACAGCATGCGAGAGCAAACGACTCCCTCCCCCCTCGCCCTAGAGGTCAATGAAATCCCTAATCTCGTACCCAGATCTCTTGTTGACGAAGCCAAAGGCGAGATCTGGCCCCAGTTGTCGCGTTGAATTTGATGTTAAAAAGATAAAAAAGAACACAAAAATTAGTTGGTTCATACTTAAGATGGGCGCATAACCACGTTTCAGATAGACAAAACTTCACGGCTCTATCAAATTCAATGTGAACGAGGCCTAATGACAACCGTAGAACTAGAAAACATGAAAAATCCGTCTGATCCTCGATCAAGTCTGAGATGACTGAGAGATCGACAGAGATCGACACTGTGTGAAATGAGTTGTGTCAAGGTCCCGATATTAGTCGATACGAACCCGTATTCTTGAGGAAAACGGAAGTATGGAGAGGTATCGGGTTCCGGACACGCAGCGTATACATTGAGTATCAGGACCCGTATTTTTCCTGAATCGAACTTTTTCCGCGGCATGGAATATCCGATATCCGGACACGTCATTGACACGCGGCGTGTCAAGACCTGTAAACGTCCTTATTTTTCTACATTTGCCGAGAATCATGGAGTGCCGTTGAAGTACGCTACAATTTTTGCCTTTCATTTTCACTAAAATTCCACGCTACGGATTGTGTTATCCTAATTTATACTCCAAACGTTCACGACACGTGAAGATTCTATTCCGTAGAATGCGATGAAATTCCACGATACATGAAGTTTCGAGTGTTTTCACTTCCCCGAAATTCCATGGTACGTGAAATACCAGGCACTCAAACACCACTGGAATTCCACGGTTCACGAAATTACCGATGTTGAAATCGTGGCAAAACTCCCTGATACGCGAAAATTGCAACACGTTTATTGTACTAAATTCGACGATACTTTCAATTTCCATGCATGATATTGAAAAAACTGATACCGCCTTTTCACTCTATTGATACCTCACGATATGTTTCCTGGTCAGCATTACACTTCATTGCATTTCAGGGACTTATTTGTGGGGTTGCAGTATTATACTGAAAATGATTTTTAACAGGTCCGACCATTCTACCATTTTTATCACCGCCCCAGTCTTATTCACTTTAACTAATTGCCCAACGCAAGAGGGAAGAACACAGGTTTTAAACCGCGTAACATCATTTATTTTAAAGTTCAAATACAGGAACAAAGTTTGATAATTCTGACAGGAAAACGTGCAAAGTTGTGTCAGTTGATAAACCTAACTCTAAAAAGTGTTCGAACATGTTGAAAATTCATTCAAAGAAATATACAAGGTACAGTTGCAAGGTTGATTGAGATATCCAGAATGAGTGATTTCAAAAGCACTGGTGTGACAACTAGCTCCACTGCTAATCAACGACAATGGCCATGCATGTGAACTAAAGGGTGGTTGGCTTGTAGGTGGATCTCCTTAAACTCCGGGGTTTGGAAGAATTAATCAAGGAGCTGGCATCTAGTTGCTGCAGGGTCTCCTTAACCATCTGTTCGCACCTTCATCTGTTTTACTAAAATCTGCAAAGCACAGTCATTGAAAAAAGTGAACAATAACCACAAATTAGTGCCCAAAATAGTGGTTAAGGTAGTTTATTTTTGTACATGTGTATGGACCTCTTTACTACCCATGCTTATAATAACATCATCAACCACAACAATAATAATGATAATAATAATGTGATGTTAAGGATAATAAGACTTTCAAATTTCTTCCGGATTTCTGTATATAAACGGAAATGAAACTGGATCACAATCGCCTTGACATCGTGTGTGTGGACCAACAGAACAAAAATTGCCTCATCACTGATATTGCATGTCCTTGTGACAAAAGGGTGGACATCGAACAAGAGATCAACAACAAGTATAGTCAACAAGACTTAGTATCTTCATCTGGCATGAAGATACTACTTGTGGAAGATGAAGGTGTAATAGTTGCCCCTTTTGTTTTGGAACACTGGGTACTACTCTGAAGACCTGGAGGTTTAACTGAAAAAACATAAATAATTCTGGGATTGAGTTGGCACTGCACTCCAAAGAACAGTCTTGCTGAGATCAGCAAGAATCCTCCAAAGTGTCCTTGAAGTTTAAGGTAGCTTGTTGCCACCCAATAAATTAAATGGGTTTGAAATTTCTGGCATTGACATACCTGCTGTGAAGCATGCACAAAAATAAATTGGGAATTGAAGGAAAAAGACAGGTGATTGTCCTCAATAACATTATTATTATCAACAGCCGAATAAAATAAGGGTACTAATACACCTTTTTACCAATACGGTGGCCATATTGAATTAATTCAATTTAAGGAGTATCATAGGATGCCCAGGGGACATGAGCACATTTCGCTTGTATTTTGGAGCGCTTTTCGGGACATTTTTTCTTAAAGTTTTCTTAGAATAAGATTCTTATGGGAAAAAAGATCCTTGTGCTGTGTTTGGATGTAATCATGATCACCTTTTTCCCGAGAAATATACGGTGAAAGACCATATTTCTAATGCTAAACTAGAAAAAGGCGATCATTATTACATCCAAACAGGGCACAAGAATCTTTTTTCCCATTACAATCTTATTCTAAGAAAACTTTATGAAAAAATGTCCTGAAAAGCACTCCAAAATACAAACTAAATGTGCTCGTGCCCCCAGGGCATCCTATAATACTCCTTAAATCGAATTAATTCAATACGGCTGCTGTATCGGTAAAAAGCTCTATTAAAAGCAGTTTACATATACACTGTAGATAAACTATCTTCAGATCATACGTACAGCTATTTCATACATTATTTTTTTAAAAGGTTAATTTGCACAGTAGTTCAAAATAATATTGTCTATCTTAAATGCACAAAGAATTTTAACTGAAGGTAATTTGGACAAAACCTGGAGCTGGGATACAGTGTTTTTGAAAAAGCAAAGCCGAATTAATGAAAGGTGAAATGAAATGTAATGCTGTATTGGTATAAAATAGATTCCCAATAATTGCAAATCTATTTTGTCAATGCAGTTTTCATAAAACAGCTTGTGTGTTTATAAATCAAGCACTACACCTACTGGAAAACGCAACTGCATGTACCACTCAAATGAAGAGGTCCCAAAACAAAATACCATATTTATTTGATTAAGTGCCTTGCCTGGGTGCTCACTAAAGTTTTGCACCTTGAGAGTGGGTTATTATTCAAGTTGGTCACTTTAATACGTGTATTTGGGCTGGGTGTTTAATGAATTCTCAAAGTTTTCACCAAAAGTAATTTTGTTGGAGATAGAGTAATTTTGTTTGAGTTCCAAAGCAGATTTTTAACTATTCATTGAAAATTTCTTTAAAATACTGTACTAACAAAACTTGGTCTCTTAATTTAGTAGAACTTAGTCTTTTTCAATCTAGCTGGTATGGGGTAGGCACTTATTCGAGGTTAGGAGATAATTCATTTTTTTTTTCTGCATATAAGGTGGAGGGTTATTGGAGGTGGGCAGTTACTTGAGGTTGAGCACTCTATCAAATAAATAATAAGGTATTCTATTTTCTTTTCAGCACTTGTTGTTACATGTAATTACAAATTCTCAGTAACATTGACTTTTCTTCTATTTTCTGGTACAAACCCCTCAACCCCAGTGTCACTAACCTGCACAATATTGCATAGTGCTCCTAAGATGTTTGCCTAGTACTGAAAGGAAAATCAGGAATCAATGAAGTCCTCATCACTTAATTACTTTTAACTGTCACTGCTGCCTTAATTACCCACTTACTTACTCAGACCTTGATTATTCCAAATATCACAAAAACCAATTCTAATAGTTGTGTCATTATACATTGTTTTCAAGAAAACAAGGACAAACACAGAATTGCATGGAACACAGTTTGACATTCCTCTTAGAAATCATACTTGGTGCACACCAGGGGGTAGAGACAAATTAAAGTCAATTATAAGAATGAGGTGCATCAACTATAGATAATTGCATTGTGACTTAGTAGACTTTAGCTTATTGTTTTTCTAAAGATAATATGAGTCTTTTGACTGGAGTGTGTATTTCTTCCCTTAATAGTAATACCTTTTGAATGAGCTTAACTGTCTTTGGACTGTTTTTTATGGCCACTGTCTTTGTGATCAGGCAATCAGAGATTCTGATCAAATCAAAGAATCAAAAATTTCATTACAGATCACTTGAAATGAACACTACACATGTGAGAAGGCGCAGGCAGACACTTGCGCTTAAAGCACAATAGACTAAAGAACCACCCACTCCGACAAAGGCCTCTATGGGGGGCATTTCGGGGCAAATTGTCTCTTAGCCGGTTATACTCGGAAAACTCCATACAAACCCTTTTAATGTTTTTTTGGGTCGACGCAAAAAAATTTAGAAGGGTTTGTATGGAGTTGTCTAAACATAACTGGGCTACGATCTCAGAGACAATTTGCCCCGAAATGCTCATTTTTGGCAAGTAGGCCTCTTGGACATTGTTCTTTCAGAATATCCTGACAAATCCCATAATTTCACAAATGTCATTTTTGTGACGTCACACTTTAGTACTCTATTTCACTTCGTTTATTGGAATCAGTAAACACCTTAATTGAAAGTCAAAATTCAAATGAGCCCAATAAACAAATCACATCCATTGCCGAAAGCTCTTTACATTAAAGCAGCCTTAACTTTCCTTAGGTTTGCAGCAAAACACTTCTCAATATCTTAACTCTTCGGAGATTGTTTCAGCTATATGTTGCTGTAATACATGTATTATGTTGCATAGCCTGTGCACAGTACAGGCTCTCTGTTTGGGGAAAGTTTAAAAATCATGAGAGGGGAAGGGGAAGAGCCAGTAGAGAACCCTATGAGGCTGCTATTTTGCGGCACCCACTGTGCATCAGATTCTGATGCAAGCTCAAATCCCACTGACCAGAAACAATGACAACAATAACCTCAGACAATCAGTATACATGTCATGACCTCTCACTTTTAAATGGGAGGGAAAACCACAATTTTGCTCAGTCACAGCTTACGCTCCAGCACATAATCTACCACCGGAGAAAGAACTCATTGGAACAAGCAGCATTTTGGCACCAGGTAAAAGTCAAGTGTTGCCTCCTGACCCCCTTTTTACATGCAAAACAGACTACATTAATTGACAATCTTGCTGACAGAAGATCAGCAATTAATAGACAAGAGGGTGGAATAGCGGCCTCAAAGGTTTGTCTTAAGGCTCTCCCCCTTTCCCTTCCCTCTCCTCCCAACTTTTTTGCCCTTCCCCCAAACAGAAAGCCTGTTCACAGGCTATATGTTGCATATTCCAAACTCTACAAAGAGAAAAAAGAAAGACCACAACATACAATACGTCTGAAAAGCGACATAAAATCAGTAAAGTTGCAATTTACCAAATTAAACGAAATGCAATAGTGAGAAACAATCCCGCCTTCAACCACCATGATTTTGTTCCTTCTCAAAACCGTTTACATTGTACCTTTGGTTTATGATGCAATGTGCAACATCAGTACACAAAACTGCTGGCAAGACCCTTGATGATTGCTTTGCAAGTTGTGAGAACATCATTTCTATTTCATTTAAGAGAATGTATGGGAAGTAACTTCCCTCCCCCACCTCCCTCTGTGCACACAACCTACAGATTAGTCACTAATAGACCTTTCCCGCATTACGCTCTATTGAGCAAACGCAAAGAAATGAGGATGAGGTCAGGTTGGACAATTTCATAGAAAGGTCTATCTGCCAGCAGATAACTATAAACTAATCTGTAAGTTGAGCTTGCAATGTATGATTTCTAAGAACAAACTGTGTATACTGTCTTTGTCCTAATTTTCTTGAAAACACTGTACAGGGCTGTGAACATTTTTTTTTTCTCTTAAAAGGACATATGTCCCACTAAGACACCATCTTGGTTGGACAAGCAAAGTTTTAGTTGTACATAATGCCAATTACAAGTCCTTATTCTATAGGAAAATACATTACCTGACGAGGGAATTCCACGTTAAATTGCACGCAAAAACCGATATTGCACGAATTGTGCAGCGATGAGTGTGATATCGGTTTTCAGGTGCAATTTAACGTGGAATTCCCTCGTTTGGTAATGGATTTTCCTTGAATCGCATAACTGAATAAAAATCAGAAAAAAAAAAGAAAACGGCAATAATATTGTTTGTTTTTATCCTGAGCGCGTGCTCCAGGAAGCCATTTCAAAGTCAACTGTCAGAACTGTCTTTGCGTTAGCGAATGGGAAGCAAGGTCAGTCATACACATTTGACCCTTCGACAACTTTTTTTGTACCTTGTGCTTGTTTTCACATTTGTTTCAAACTCTTTTACATGTAAACAAGCTTCACACTAATCTTAAGGATAAATAGAGGTATTTCACTGAATTTACAAGCCGTTTATCTATAACATCTTTTTTCAAATTGGTCATTTGCTCGAGAAGGAAAATAATATACACCTTTTACCTCATCGGCGGCAAAACTGAAAGAAATGAAGTGTCCAAGCAAAAGCACTTAAAGTTTAACGTCGCGATTGATATATGGTAAGTACCTTGAAATGTTTTAGAAATGCTGTTCAAGTTCAGCTCTGTTTTGTACTTTTCTAAGTATCACGATTCAGGACGATTGCAAGCGGTATACTCTTTTCGTGTTTTCACTGAGGGGCCATGTCGTCTTTGAAGGTATTTATTTCTTCTCCTGCATAATTTATGTGACAATCGACCCCAGCACTTCCTCTGTTGTCGCTTCTCCATTTTGTTTGGTTGAACTTTGGCTTGCCATTTTCTGGGCCGTGTTCACAAGATTTTCTTCTTTTCTCGTTGTCGCGAGCGAAAGAGGTTTTTTATGCCTCTTCGAGAATTTGTAGTTCAGTTCAAAAGAAGGAAGAACCTCCGGCTCACTATAAAAACGCTTTTGTTTGTTTTGAACTCTTCAAAAGGTGACAATGGTTTTGAAAACATTTTAAAATGACATTGTAGAAAACCTTTTTTGCAGTTGTGTTGTGTTAGAATTTGACGATAGTTGTTACCTACATGTAGATGCAAAACAATATTGCTTAGCCTCGTTTTCAACTCGCAATTCCACACTAAATACCTCGCTTCGTTAACCAATCAGAATGCGAGATTTTACTCAGTTATGCGATCCTCAGTAGAACCTAGTGTAAGTGAAGAAATATTACTTGAAAATAACAACATCACTGTTTCATGTAAACAAATTTGTCCCGAAGCATTACATTTTCATCAAAGTTACAGGCAAAAAGAATGAACTTTAGGCCAACAAGTTTGGCTGCTGTGACGTCAAGTGCAAACCAGCATTTGTAATCCATTTTAATCTTCTTCAAGTTTGTCTATCTGAGCCTCCTTTTGCGTTTGCTGTCTTGTTTATAACTTCTTCAACTGTTGTGAGTAGTTATTTTTATGTTTCAGTCAATATGGTGGCGGTTTCATCTGTTTAAATTTTGATAAATTTCGTTCCACAGCTCCTTTATAAAACATTGATTTCATTGAAAACTTAAAATGTTTGAAAACAGGGCAGCTTACCTTTTCTTGCTATCTAATTTTCCAGCAAAATCCTGAGTCTTGGAGCGCTTTAGTAGTACAGTCCTTAGTATACTTCGGTGTTCAAATTCTCAGTCTGCTTGACTGAGTCTCCTGTATCGAAAGGGTTGCTTCTTAAGATCTATCGACAACTGAAGGTTGAACGTTCGATGATAATGTGTTACAATCCTCAGATGTCCTGTGATGCTATCGAGAAGGATAATTATGGACTCAAACTTCTGAGGGAAATCAAACAAGTTGGCGTGATCGAAACGATCGATTTCACACTTTCAAAATGGACGCCAAATCGGAACCTGAAAGAGCATGTGCAAAGCGAATACCCGCTGACCAGTTGCTTTGCTGTATTGTTTCATTTCCAGGCCTCATTCGAACGTATAACCCCCAGGTCTCCTTCTTTCTTCTTCTCCTGACAGAGGCGATACCCGGGAAGCGATAAAGGCAGTTCAAAAAAACAATGTAGTATTTTATTTGTAGAAAGTTAGTCAATACTCCGTTGAAATTAAGTAGCCATAGTTTTTCGAGAATGCCGTCTGTCGTTCATCGCAAGTGAGGAAATAGTTATCACGCATGTTCTCTCTGTTTTGAATTTGTTTTCGTTTAACTCGTTGTGACAAAGACACTGTATTATTTTTCAAGAGTAAGTGACGGGCCATTTATGTTAACAATGCCTTCCAGTCACCCGAACAGAATTACAAGATCTCCAAAAACAACAAGCCAACGATTCTCATCGTTAGCGGCGTGAAAACTACTTCGGTCATGCTAAAACAACAAAGAAAACAGATCCTGCTACCAAAGTGCACGTGGCAACCTTACAGTTACTCAACTTTCATATCTCGCGTAAGAGAATGAGCGTAAAATTGTTGCAACCTTATGTTACCTTCATTCAACCTTTAAGCCAAGTGCGTAAATCTTTAACAACCTCGGCGTACCTTGGAAAGTTTGCGTAAATGAGTTAGTTGTGTTTTAATTAAGTAAAGTTTAATTTTTCCTAAATTTCAGTTTTCATGCCATTTTACCTCACTGTCGAAAGTCGACATAGCTTTGGCTAACTGATATCGTTAAGAATCAGAGCTCGTATATTTCTTGACACACCGCAGAAGACGTGTCCGGGCCACGATTTGTCTTGATTTTTCACGACAGACGTATCGGGGACACGGACACTCTCTGAAACGCCGCGTTTCATGACACCTCGCGTGTCGGTATACGATTTGCTAAGTGCCATGGGAGTATCGTGGCCCTGTCAATTCCACTAAATTACTTATTTCACGCAGTGCTAGCTAGACTTGCGCGTTTCTGACACGTTGGCTCGTTTTGAGCGTTTAACAATGTATACGATATTTTCCCCAAGGACGACGTAAAATTTATATTACATTCAATTATGATTGAGAAAAAAATCAATCAGTGGGCTTAAAACTATAAACTTAACGTTTCTTTTGTTCATGATTGTGACTTGCTTGCCGCCACGTTCAGTACAGTCCACAGATCGACACAAACGAAAAATCATGCAGCTTTGCCTTTGGCACGTTTAGATCTATCGCAGTCAGCTAAAAATTGGTATAAAATTTCACAACACAGTATTACAGGTACCTTTCTCTCTCAGCCTTTTGTTTTTGCTTGTGCTTTCCAATAACAGTAGAAAAGAAAAATCCAACAAACAGCAAACTTCAAACTGGTCTAATCGAAGAGGTGGCGAGATTTCACTCGAATGCACCCACCGCGTCCTTGCACGTGATTACTTTAGTTACAGCTGATTGGTACGGTTATGACAGTTCCTGGCTTATTTCTCAAATAAAGATTATCGAAACCATGAAACTGTTTTTCAGCGAAACTACTAGGACCAAATTAGGCACTAGGAGACTGTGAATTTCTTTTTTTTCTCTTTAGGTAAACTGTTGAACGTAGACGTTTATTTTCATTTGTGAACCAGGAGGACCAGGAAGGTTCAAGAAAAGGTTCACCCCAGGTGCACCTTTTCCAGTCCTATGCCAGGTCAAAAAGCTCGCATAAAATCGCTTTTGATTTTTTAAAGTTCAGCGAAGCGAGTGAACAACAGAGAATTAACATAGCCAGAGGTCGAAGTTATTCATAACAATTCAATTTAACCCTTAAAAAGACTGCGCTGTGTTCCCTTGAAACCCCCTCCAATTTTGTGATCCTCCCAGCCGCTCATAAGCAAGGATTTCCTCGCTATTATAGAATTTTAATCATGTGGCCGTGACCTCAACCTTTGATATGGAGCTCTTGAACTATTGTTTTGACACCAGATATGCCGATATTATGTCGTCACGTTCAGGTCTATACCCTCGGGAAGCTTTCCATAGACTAGCCTCCCCGCAGACGTCCTTTGGGGTTCGTTCGTCACGCATTCATTTCTCCCCCACGGATGGTTTTTCTTACGAGCGACTAGGTCAATTTAATCTGGAGTGGATCTTTAGTAAGTTGGATTTCGGATTCCAATCATTAGTACGATTCCGGATTCTTAGTGCTGGATTCCGGATTCCAAAGCCCAGGATTCCGGATTCCACGGGCAAAATTATCCTGGATTCCGCAATCCGGATTCCCTTACATGGGGCGAATACTTGGTGGAGAACTCTTTTGAAGAATCACTGCAATTGGGAGTGGAACTTTGTTTTTGTTAGCATGCTTTTCCGTTGCAAGCTAGTTTAGTCCTGTAGTTCTCTTTGCTTTTGATAATGCTCGAACTTGTGTGAGGCGTAGTTTATTTTCAGTATACGTGTCGATTAGTTTCTGAATTAGTTATGGCTGCTATGAGTCAATTTCAAAGTTATTGCAAGGAATGTGTCGCTTATGAAATACTTTTGCTACCACGAATTTTGCTTTTTTCTTGCTTGATATTTCCTTATACAAGAAGTTGAAAATTGTACAGACTACAGAGTCCTATGAGCTCTTTCAACTTTTGGAATAATCTCCTATTTTTCATGGGATTGATTCTTTTTCAAAGTAACTTTTTATACTAATGAAGTAAAATGTTAACGGTGACGCCAGCAAATGTTCGCCGGCCGCACAGAAAGAAATCTAAATCGCATTGATAATGAAAATAACAAACGGTGTCTGTTTTTCCTTGTCACAATATAATCTCACATTAACACTACACTAAGGGCAGTAAGATAACATCAAACAGGAAAATATTTTGGAAACTTTTTTTCTTTATTACAGTATGAACTATCGCAAATCGACTGTTACAAACCAACCTACGCCTAAACTAAATGACTCCTTGGTAAAGGAAGTCTGACCAGATCTTTGTTTACCATTAGTTCCTCAGAAGCTTATATCCTAACCGAGTTACGAAAATGTCACTTTAAACTATCGAGAAGACATCATAACGTTACCTTTCTCTAGCAACTCCATTCTGAAATAAGGTGGCAACCCGACCCAACGAAGAAGTGCCAGGTGTCTCCGAAAAGTGTTTGCACGTTCAGTTTGTATTAAAAGACGAAACGTTACATTGTGGTTCTATATGTTTCGTTGTGATAAAAAGGGTTTTGGTCAGTCAGAGTTTTACTGTATCCGATAACTTTGTGCGGTGCGATGTGTCAAACTAGTCATTAACGAGATACAAAAGATCTAGAAACTGCTTTCTTTTATTATAAAGAATGGGAGGCTCATTCAACATTTTGCCAACCAAAAATTATTCATTTCAGTGCAGGATACACGATAGGGATCATTGTTTGTTCCGATGCCCTGATGCTGTTCTTGTGATCCTCTCTTCCGTCTCGAGGGCTTTGCTTTTGACGCATGTGCCTGAGAACCATTTGAAATTACTATATTTGGCTCACACGCTTTTCAATGTGATTAAGACGTTAACGTCAAGTAGCAAGTTGCCGCACTAGCAGATAATAGTGCACCCCTGTTCCTAGAAGCATTTCAATAATTGGAGCTCTTAGCGTTAATTCGGGATATTAAATGATTTTTCTAAATTGTGGTCATTCATAGAGTAACTAGAATTTGAGTTGAATCTATTACACAACGTTAAGCAAAAATCTCAGGATGTCACAATTCAAACACGGCATTTAGCCAGATAAAAACTACCATGTCGGCAATAATAGTTCACCTAGAGAGGTAATCAAGCAACCACCTGATTGTAATAAGTGTAAAACTAGTAATAGTTAACACTACAGCTTCCCCCGCTCTATAGATTGTCGGTCTATAGCATTCTTGCTCGTTGTGTGGCTCTTTGAAATATACCGAGTCATAAGGAAGATTTTCATATATATTCCATACAATAGGTGAGATAAATACAGGAAACGCACTTAGTTCCACGCACAGTTTCAGGTCACAATAGGTGAGATAAATACAGGAAACGCACTTAGTTCCACGCATAGTTT